TTATTATTATTATTATTATTATTATTATTATTATTATTATTATTATTATTATTATTATTATTATTATTATTATTATTATTATTATTATTATTATTATTATTATTATTATTATTATTATTATTATTATTATTATTATTATTGTTACTATTATTGTTCTTATTATTGTTATTATTATTATTATTTTTATTATTATTATTATTATTATTATTATTATTATTATTATTATTATTGTTATTATTATTATTTTTATTATTGTTATTATTATTATTATTATTATTATTATTATTATTATTATTATTATTATTATTACTATTACTTTTTTTTTAGTAGTAGATAGAGAAATTGGGAGGAAAGAGAGTGTAAATATTAACGAGGAGAGAGAAATGAGTTTATGGAATAAAACCTATAGGTTAGTAGTAGGTTTTAGTATGTTTGAAAATTGAAAAAAAGTATGAATAGTGTATTTTCAATAGAAATTTGATAAGAAAAAATGGGATTTTCTGGATAAAATTGTGGAACAAACATGATCTCGGTTTTATGAATAGTATAGGACTGGAAATTGATTTTGGAAATGAAACCAAACATCCCATATGTCTCTCATTTGTTCCAATACTATACCTACAGGCGGCTACAGTATAGTCGCTCGCATCGAACATGATCTCGAATGGTTCTTCCCAATTGGAAGTAATCATAATCGGTGACTGGGTTAGCTTCTCCTTGAGAAACGTGAAAGCCTCCAAACAAGCAGAACTCGAAATCAAAGATGGCTTCCTTCTCAAGCAAATGACATAATGGTTTCCTATTTTTGAAAAATCTTTAATGAATCTACGGTAAAACCCAGCATGCCCCAAAAAACTTCTAACCCCCTTGACATCTTTTGATGGAGGCAATTTTTCAATCGTTTTGATTTTTGCCCTATCCACCTCAAGACCCTTTTTCGAGACCTTGTGACCTAGAACAATACCCTCACGAACCATAAAATGACATTTTTCCCAATTTAAAACAAGGTTTGTTTCTGTATATCTTTTCAAAACAAGTTCTAGATTTTGCACACAATGATCGAAAGACGATCCAAACACAGAAAAATCATCCATAAACACATCAAGAAATTCTTCTACCATATCATGAAAAACAGATATCATACATCTTTGAAAGGTAGCAGGTGCATTACACAAACCGAAAGGCATCCTACGAAATGCAAAAGTACCGTAGGGGCAAGTAAAAGTAGTTTTCTCTTGGTCTTCCGGGCAATTGAGATTTGATTGTACCCCGAATAACCATCTAGAAAATAGTAATACTCAAAACCTCCTAGCCTGTCTAGCATTTGATCGATAAAGGGAAGGGGGAAATGGTCTTTTCTAGTGGTTGCATTCAATAATCGGTAATCGAAGCATACACGCCACCCAGTGACTGTCCTAGACGGAATAAGTTCATTTTATGATTCACAATAACCGTCATCCCACCCCTCTTTGGCACAACCTGCACCGGGCTGACCCACGGACTGTCAGAAATTGCATAAATCCGCGCCTAACAGTTTTAAGACTTCTTTTTTGACAACCTCTTTCATTGACGGGTTTAACCGCCTCTGAGGTTGGACTCTCGGTTTATAGACGTCTTCCATTAGAATTTTGTGTTGAACAATAGACGGGCTAATTTCCCTAATATCCTCAATAGACCAACCTATAGCCGACCTATATTCTCTAAGGACCTTCAACAGTGTGTTTGTTTCGGCCTCGCTCAAACTAGAAGAAATGATCACCGGATAAGTCTTGTCTGCTCCAAGAAAGGCATAACAAAGATAATCCGGTAATTGTTTCAATTCCAGTACGGGGGCCGTTTTCACACTAACTGGTATCTCGGGGACGATTCCTACCTCGTCTATGCCTAAAATCTCGGCACATTCAAGAAACAACACACAATCTAGCACATCATTTTCAATTGGAGTTTCAGGGGAGGCAGAATGCAAATCAATGGAGTTATCAATGCAGTGTTCAACAGAATTACATAATTCATACAAATAAAAAAATGAGGAAACACAGTCCTCGATCACGTCTATTCTACTACAATGATCAACATGCTCAGAGTGTTTAAATGCATTCATCAAAATAAACAACCTCTTCCCCATTCACCCTAAGTTTCAAAGATCATAATTCCATATCAATCATCGTCTTACTAGTAGCTAAGAATGGATGACCTAGAATGATTGGTGCTTCAACATCTTCAGGCATTTCAAGTACCACAAAATCAACAGGCAAAATGAATTTATCTACTTTAACTAGCACATCTTCTACAATCCCATCATGATATTTCAATGAACGATCAGCTAATTGTAAAGTCATGCGAGTGCGGTTCAAATTTCCTAAGCCCAGTTTTAAAAACACAGACATAGGCATCAAGTTAATACTTGCCCCCAAATCACATAAAGCTTTATCGAAAGTAGAATTTCCAATAATACAAGGAATAGTGTAACTCCCTGGATCTTTCATTTTATGTGGTAGATTCGACTGAAGAATGGCCCTGCAAGTTGTCGTGAGTGTCACTGGTGTGTCTTCTTCGATTTGTATTTTCTTGGATAGTACTTCCTTCATGAACTTGGTATAGTTTGGCATTACCTCCAAGGCTTCTGCGAAAGGGATGTTGATTCGAATTTTTTTGATCCTTTCGATAAACTTCTTTAATTGATCCTTGAACTTATTCCTTTTCAACCTCTCTGAAAAAGGAATAGGAATTATCAGAAGAGGAGGATTATCAGGGAAATAAATGTTATTGGGCTCACTAGCCTCTTTTGTATTACTCCCTGAAATGGTGATTTCCGGCTCGACCAGGGTCTGTTGTACTGCTGGCCTTGGTGACTCGTCTATCGGATAAGGAGGATCGGTCATTTGCAAACCACTTCGGGTGGTTATGGCTTGACAACTTTCTTTTGGATTGACTTTGGTATTGCTTGGAAATCCACCCTTTGCCATTGTGGACATGGATTGGGCGATTTGCCCTATTTGCTTTTCCATGTTCTTCATTGTTGACTTCGGTATTGCTTGGAAATCCACCATTTGCCATTGTGGACATGGATTGGGCGATTTGCCCTATTTGTTTTTCCATGTTCTTCATCGTTGACTTCAGGACCTCCATCTCCTGTTCTTGTCGGTGAAAACACTCGTCATACGTCTGCCCTCTTTGCTCTCTGTGATGGTTAAAATCGGAGGGTGGTTCTAGATCATTCTTTGGATTGGCGTAGGAGAAGTTCTCGTGATTCCGAATTCCCGGGTAGTAGTGAGTAGGGTTTTGATTCTGATTGTTGTTTCCCCAGAAATTGTTGGATCAGTTGTTCATATAGTGTGTCTTCTCCCAATCGTCGTTTGTGGCTTGTGAAGTACTCGCAGTTGCTACCTGTTCGGTCTGTGGCCCTCTAACTGATAATTGGGCGACCTGATTTGATAGGGTCACTACATGTGCTGATAACGAGGCTAATGGATTGAGTTGGTGGACTCCGGCCACCTTTTGTGTACCACTCCGTTCGGACGACCAATGGTAAGAATTCTCACACATTCGTTCGACAATGTCTCGAGCGTCTATGGGAGTCTTGTTTTGCAACGATCCACCTGAGGCAGCATCGACTAGAGATCAGGCAGGTTGATCGAGCCCATTGTAGAAAAACTCCATTTGATCCCATGGGTTGAATCCGTGTTGAGGGCATTGTCGTAATAAGTCCTTGAACCTCTCCCATGACTCGTGCATCGGCTCTTGGCTCATCTGTCTGAAGTTGCCGACATCTCTTTGTAGTTGTGCAGTCTTCGAGGGTGGAAAGAACCGTGCCAGAAAGGCTTATGATAATTATTCCCAACAAGTTAGTGATCCGGGATTAAGAATCAGAAACAAACTCTTCGCTTTGTCTCCGACATAAAATGAGAATAGCTTCAACCGAATTGCATCATCAGAAAAACCGTTAACTTTGATTGTGTCACAAATCTCTAAGAAATTGGGAAGATTGAGATTCGGATATGCAGTGGCTGCTCCGGAGAATTGGTTCGCCATGACCATGTTGATGAGCCCCGTCTTTAGCTCAAAGTTGTTTGCGGCTATTGTTGGTTTCCTGATTCCCGAATAGTTCTCATTCACATATGGCGTTCGGTATTCTCGCATTGTTCGCTCGGGTGGTAGGTTCGGTCTTGGTTGCTCGAGATCTCGTCCTGGCTCTCGATCATACTCAAAGGCCAGGTGCTCTGGATTTCCTTGATCGTCGGCATTGGTTCACTTTTTTGTTTGCGCGTGGCCCTTCGTCTTCGTAATGTCCTTTCAATCTTGGGATCGTAAGGTATGATTTCTAAATTTCGACGCCTGGGCATAAACAAAGTGATCGGTTAAAATTAAGGTAAAAATGGAAAATAAAACAAGTAAATAGCTAAAGTAATAATCAGATAATTGGTAACACTATCAACAAAGATATAACCAAATTGGTCCCCGGCAACGACGCCAAAAACTTGATACGCGTTTTCCTCACGTATACATTACCGCAAGTATACAGTATCGCATTTTGCAGAACAGTGGTTCAGGATATTGATCCACAACGACCTTGTAGATTCACATGCTCAGTAATGTAATTATATTATCGTTATATTATCGAGCCGATCGTAAATAATTATAATGGTGATAAACCCTAAATTAAAAACATGCAAGATCGTAAACATGCAAATATAGAATAAACATAAAATAGAATAGCGATATTCAACACGGGAGGGCTTCGATTTAAAAGGGACTTCTAGGAAAAAATCCACCTATGTATAATCAACAACGAACTACAAATTCGTTATCTAAAGTCACATTCCTATTCGTCAACCCAGACGCTAAAGTACTCTAACCCCAGTGTCCAGTGTAGTTAGAGTCTACCCACAGGTCCGACGTCTCTGTTCAGAACCTGCTATTAAGAGAGCATTTAGGTCAAGTCCTTAAGGGCTACCCGAAGTGCATCACGTCTCTGTTTCCACACCCCGAGCTATGTTTTCCTAACTTCAACCAAGAAATCCTCTCTCGAGTTCATTCCTGAGAGCTGATCAAACAATCAAAAGCATTTAATACAGGAAAACATAAACGAAATCAAAACACGACAAATAGATAACAGAAATGAAGAGCGAAATCAATATATACAAGGTTTCATTACCCTATAAAAAATGTTTTTAGTTCATAACAAACATAGAGTCAAAAGAATGTACACAAGAAATGAAGAACAAAATGTATAGAAATTGCGTAAGAAAAACCCAAGTCGAAACTCCTGTTGACGATTCCCGCGAAGAACGGTCGAAAACCGTAAAAAGTCGAAGAAGTGAAAGAAGAGTGAGGGCTTGCTTCTATTTATAGTAAATTCAAAGCTTCCTCAAGAAGCTTTGCATTTAAAATATCTACCCTAGAAAATCGTGCCCAGATCGCGATCCAATAAAGTCAGATCGCGATCAGGCTTCTCGTGAAAAAGGTGAACCCCCTTCCCAGATCGCTATCCAGGAGAGTCGGATCGCGATCTAGCCAGCTTTCTTGCTGCTACTGGAATTTGCCACCGGATCGCTATCCAACTTTCATGGATCGCGATATGGGTCTTAATTTTCTGCTCACTGGAATTCACATCCATATCACGATCCGACGTTAATGGATCGCGATCTGGGTCTTAATGGCCACTTTCTAGGCTTGAAAAATCGGTTTTGCTTTCAAATGGTTTCAACTCGGCAAAAGTAGCTTAATGGCCACTTTCAAATGGCTTGAAAAATCGGTTTCGCTTTAACATGCTGCATATACATCCATACGAGTTTTTACAAATGTGAAGTTTCGACGCTGTATGCAGTGTTCCCTTGAGATCAGTGCCAGAGAAATGTTGGACCATGTGTTGTTCTAGCAATCCCAAGTAACCACACTTAAAACCGTTGTCACACTTCCACCCTCGAGCAACAATATCCTTAAGTTCAACGATGAGAACATTTTCTTCGGTAGCCGTCCAACTACGCCGCGTAATTCCCGTCGATTTGGCGGTTCATTTTCCCTTCGATTTCTGAGACAATGATGTTGGCATACTCTTGCATAATAAATATACATTATGGAAACAATCAAATGTGTAAACTTATTCAAACAGTAATGTAAAGGAATAGTTATAATATGAAGAATTTAAACACAATATTGTTGAGAACAGACACGTGTATGCAGCGGAAAATAAAAGAAATTATATATATATATATATATATATATATATATATATATATATATATATATATATATATATATATATATATATATATATATTGCTTATTCCAAAACATTTAGCATGCTCGTAAACATAAATATATAAATTCATGTTTGTCATGTAATCACAACCAAAACACATAATCATATACAGATCCATGCATTTAATAATTAATTAATAACATCTAATCATATTAACATGACTTAATTAATTAATTAACTAGGGTTTAATTAATTACCCTTGAAGCCTGATTTGGTAGACAAGACGATGGATAGCTGCCGAAACCACCAACTCCAACAGATCTGGATCAGCTGGAGGAACAGGCTAGCGGTGGCGGTGACGTGCAGCTGCTGCTCCTCTTGTCTTCCTCCTTTAAGGTTTCACCTCGAACACTGATTTATACACCCTACGTGGCACTAGACACGTAAATGTTAGAATTAACGGAAGAATACAAAAGAAGAGAACTATCGACGATTGGCGGAGGCGCGTGGAGGGGCCGTCCGACGGCGGCGGTGGCAGAGATGGCAGCGGCGGACGTGAGAGAGGAGATGAGCGGCTAGGTTTCTTGTGTGTTCATAATTAAACAACTTAAGTCAAATATTATACCTTTGCTCGTTTCTCTCAAACCAACGTTCGAAAAATCGTAACAATTATATTTTCGAGGTAGTTGTCAAGTCCTCATCAATACCAGTGCCAATTCTTAATTTCAAAATTCTAAAAGTGGAAGCCATAGTTCAGTGCACTTGCTAAATCGGGAAACCTCCCAATTTAAAAGGTTCATTAAAATATCGCCTATTTTTTTTCTCTGTTTATTCTCATTCATAATTCATAAATACGATTTTCGGACTCAATCATATTTACTTCCAAATATGCAAAGACAAACAGTTAATCTCTTACCGTTTACTCAAGGAATTCATGTACAAGAGAAGTGTGACGCTCAATGGTTCAGGTCTAACCTAGTCGTGGGCCCACAACAGATTGTGGTTTAAACTCGTCCCTAGAGTTGTAACTAAGATGAAGCTAATTTCAACTTAATTTCCCAACAAATCAAGATTGGCGTCTAGCAACTAAGCGTCATGATTTCCTGGATACAAATGAGTGCCTGCAAGAACCGTGTGATATAGTTAACGTACAATATGATCCTTCGATACATATGTCCTGATTGAACTAGAGGCATTGGTTCACCGAGACCTCCTGTATAGTTCAACAACTGTGTGAACGTTCTTAGTATTGCAATCGGTTTTGTGTATGACTTAGAGAAACACATTCCCTAATCATCACACAGTCAGCTCTGGCCAGAGACTTAATGATTACAAACTATAAGAACACACATGACATCCAAGACTATTCTAGCGATGGAATCCCCAACTACAATACATAGACCTCCAACTAGATTTTGGAATGCACGCACACTAGCACTTGGAGCGGTCCTTGGTGGAACTCAGGGACAGGTTATGGTACAGCTGGTTCTCTAGTTAAGTCACGGTGATGTTTGGGTCTTAAGGAATAATGGTGTACAACTATATCATAGAAACCTCTACTCGATTATTGGGAAATACTTAGAGATTTCTAGGATGAGGGAGTTCCGTGAACTCATCCATATGAGAACCAACTTATGTATGCCGACATCACAATATTGATTACTGATGAGGCGCATTACATATACACTAAGTGCTAGTCTCAAACGGAAAATACCGATATCCTCATTGATGGCGTAACCCGTTGACTAGGAAACATGGTTTAATAGTTATATTACTTAACCAAATATCTCACGATTCAACTTGATCAATTATAAGTAATTATAATAACTATAAGGACTACATCTATGATCAAGCAAGGGACAAAGATATAGAATCCCAAAAGGATTTTTATCAAAAGGATTATTTATTACAGTAATAAATGAAAGACCACAGCCACAAGTTGGCTTGTTGGTCACCTACTCTAACAAGTACTACTTGCACATTAACGAGTATTGTATAATATTACAATAAACATGCAAATTAACACACATTGTCAAATAAACACACTGCACTTCTCATTTTATTGATTTAATTGATTAAAATACTTCCACCGTGCATTTCGGAATCCCCTTCGACCGACTCCAAAGTGACAAGCATGACATTGTGTAGTTTAAAAAGTGCATTCAATATCCGCGAAAATACAATACTAATCGTATATCCCTCACTCTTGTAATTTGTTTGAATTATAACATTTTTTTCGTGATGGGAAAGAACATGCAAGAACAAGATAGTTTGCTCAACAATAGAGACATTCCTAGTGGCGACCAATCCACCGACATTTTTGAGTATGTAACACAATCGAGAAAATGTGTGTCCGTGTTCATTCTTAAATTATTCCTACATATGGTGTCATTCCACCCAATGATATTAGACAGGTGTCGTATTTGTTCCGGTATTTTAAGTTTCAAATTATAATATTGAACACCACCATGGGGGATCCTACGACATCGATGTCTAATTAATTGTACCAACAATGCGTACAAGGACATGCATATTTTCATTTGCTCAAATATCTGAGAAACTAGAACTAATGTGGCTTCGTCGTTTTTCGTATTGTCTTCCATATAAACATGTAAGTTGAACATGAAAATATGGGGTGAGTTCAAAATTCTGGACAACTTCAAATTTCTTTTCATTTACATGCGTATTGACAGTGGAAAAAAAACATAATGATTTTCACCGTTACATTTTGTTTTTATATGACATAAAACACACATTTTACAGTTGCCCAAACAAGCCATATCATTTTTCTACAATTGTAAAAGTGAATTGCATTTACTACCCGTGTAAAATTTACAACTGCACGATTCCCCCCGTCATAGAAAAATTAGCAACCCCCCCCCCCCCCCCCCTATTAGTCAAAGGCAAAAACCCCCCCTTGGAGCTGATCGAGCGGCTCA